TGGCAGCAGCCCAAGCCTGGATGACACTACACCGTGGCCCTGGCTTCAGCCCGCTTTCTTATAGAACCCAGGACTCCTAGCCCACAGTGGGCTGGGCCCTTCCCCATTGATCACTAGTTGAGAAAATGCCTTACAGCTGCATCTCATGGAGCAATTTCCTCAACAGAACCTCCTTCCTCTGTGATGAGTCTAGCTTGTGTCAGATTGACACACAAAAACCAGCCATTCCAGCACGTGAATGAATGAATATTGTTTATTTGGTCACCTATGTTTTGTCTTGGTTGAGCAGGACATTTGTTGAGAACAGTTACCAAACCAACTGCTTAGAAGGACATTTAAGCAGAACGCTTAGTAGAGATCTTACCATCAATGAGCTTGTGACTCATGGCTATGACATCATCATCTGAGATTGGCTGGCTGTGGTCTCCAGGCAGTGCTTGCCTCCGACTGAGACTGACTACATTTAGTTTACTCATGTCTAGCAGGGTCATTGCAGTAATCCCTTTCTGTGAGGGCATATTTAGAACATGGGTGTAGATAATGTGAAAAAAATTAGTCTCACTTTAAAATTCAGCTTTCAGTCTGAATGCAGTATTGACGTGTTTATTATTTTAAACTTCCTTATAAGTTTGAGTCATTGACCACAAACATTAGGTAGATGGTGTTGTTTGTTATATGTAGATCCTGAGGGAAGAGATCAAGTCTCTAAGGCCTGTATACTCATCTGGATGATCTTGATTCCTACCCAGAAAGGCTGTTGTAATGAAGGAGGTGGCCTAGGGTGAGCTCTGTAGTTGGTTCTCAGTGATGTTAGTTCAGTGGTGTGGCTGTTGCCACTCAAGTTAGCTGATGATGATAAAGGTGATAGACTGTCCATCCCGTTTGATCCAGTTTGATGCAGATTGGGATGAGTAGCTCTCTCTCGCTCTAATTTGGAGTTAAGAACGGTAGATGATCGACAAGAACTTGTCAACACCTGCATGTATGGACAGCTGTTTCTTTTCGTTTTCAATTATTTTCCAAGAGACCCAAGGGCCGTAGCATAGTGATTACAAGCATATTGGTTGATATAGATTGTAAGGTAATGATCTCCAATTCCTGTGCAAAGCCAGGATTTGTTTTAGGCCATGTCAATATGTATTCTGATTTCATATTTGTAGATTTATAATTACTTCTTAATAAGTTGTTTGTGGCTTTCTATTATTCTTTTCTTGATCCCATGCTAAGACTTTTTATTTTCAGATAATCTACTAGATCCATTGTTCTCACCTTATGGGTTTCAACTCCTTTTTTGGTCAAATAACCCTTTCCCAGGGGTCGCCTAAGACCATTGGGAAAACACAGATAAAGTTACATTATGATTAATAACAATAGCAAAATTATGTTATGGTTGAGGATTACCACAACATGAGGAATTGCATTAAAGAGCCACAGTATTAGGAAGCTTGAGAACCACTATACTAGAGAGATGTTTATGAATCGAATTGTGAGTTATAAACCCAGTCTTCTTTATTAAGTATTCCCAGATTAGTCATATAAGAAGTTATAACAATGTACACTCTTTCCAGCATTATGTAGGGTTCCAGATGAGCAATAGTCTATCGGCTATTTGGGGTTGTCAAATCTCTAAATTTTTGAAATAGTGTTGAAATGTACTTTTAATTTGTAGTTCTCAGATCAACAATGTTTCTTAAGTGTATTAGTCATCCATATTTATTTTTTCTCAAATCATCTATTTGTGTCTTTAGCCCATTTTGTCCTGTTTGTCTTTTTTCTTAGTTGAAGAGTGTGAAGGTTCCGCTCTGTCTGAACCTTTTCTTTTCTCCGTCTTGCTATGCACCTAAACTTCCACTAGAGGGCACTCTCAAAGTTTTACATTGTTCAGTTTCCTCACCTGTTTAAAGTCAAGTTAAAAGTGACATTACTTAGTGTAAAAACTTTGAAATACAACAAAACCCTGAAAACGTGCAACACTAAAGGAAAAAATGGGGAAGGAACCCCACCCTTTTTTTCTTTGCTGGTATGAAGGATTATGAAGAAATGTCCTTAAAATTAACAATATTGAATGACTTAAGAATATTTCATTATATTTTTAATTCCTCAACATTAGAAACTAAACTGATAGATTATATTGAAAGTGGAGTAGTGAGGGTGAATTAGGTGAGCCAATCAACCGACAGAAAACTTCACCAAGAGACTGGAGAGAGCCCAGTGATTAGGAACACCATGGCTCTTGCAGGTGGCCACGTTCACTTCCCAGCACCCACAGGATGGCCACAGTCATCTGTAACTCCAGCTCTAAGAGATCCAGTGCCCTGTTCTGGCCTCCACAGCCACTAGGCACAAGTGTGGTGCACATATACACACACATGCAAACATTCATCCACATAAAACAAATAAATCTAAAAAAGTAGGAAAAAGTTCTCCAAAGCCATATTGCGTACATGCTATGAGACGACACTCTTGCCTCAAAATAAGAAACGAAGGTTGTAGAGATGGCCCAGCTGTTATAGGCTCGGCTCACAGCCGAGATGACAATATAAGGAAAGAGTTTCTTAAAATTAGCGTTGCTCTCTGTAGGCTAGGTTATGGCAAGAATCTGTGAGCGTCCTATTCACTGGTGGTATGCATGGAGATTATGAATGAACACTAACAATCAGGACTAGGGATAGGATGTATCCAAAGGTTACCTCGCTTGTGTCATTCTTTATATTAGTTGAGGAAACTGAGGTCTGGATGTTTAGTCAAAGTTGTTGTGGTATGCAGCTGTCTTCTTTTGACCAGCGTGACTTCCGGCTCAACACCATGAAAAGGGAATCCACTGCCTTAGGAAAGGAAACTCATGGGTGTTTCTGACTTTATGGCCTAGATTGTTGGTTTCAGTTTGGTCCCATGTTGGTTCCTCTACACATCGACACACATGTTACACCATTTATTAACACAGCACTCTCTTGGTTACTGAGCCTTGTGATGATATTTTGTTGATGATCTAACAAATAAAGCTTGCCTGAAGATCAGAGTGCAGAGCTAGCCACACTAGTTAACCATAGAGGGCAGGCAGTGATGGCCCACACCTTTAATCCCAGCACTTGGGAGGCAGGGGCAGACAGATCTCTGTTAGCTCAAGGCCACCCTGGGCTACTCGAAATTGATCCAGTCTAAAAGAGAAACAGAGCCAGATAGTGGTGGCTCACACTTTCAATCCCAGTACTTGGGAGTCACATGCCTTTAATCCCAGCACTAAGGAGGTGGAGACAGGAAGGGATGTGGCTGGATGGAGAGAGGAGTATAAGACAGGGCAGTCAGACTGAGGAGGCGGATCATCCCTTTGGTCTGAGCTTTGGTAGAGGTTAAGAACTCTAGTGGCTGGTGGCTCAGCTTCTCTGATCCTTAGCTTTCACCCCCTGACAGCTGACTCTGAGTTTTTATTATTAAGATCAAAGAGAATTTGTGCAACAGAGCCTGCCTTATTCATGGCCACTCCTGGCCCCAAGTGGATCCTTAGTATCTAACCTTGTGAGTGGATGTGAGTGCCTGGTAATCAGCAATAGGAAAGAAGCCGCAGTGATGGGAGGACTAGAGAGAACGGAGCTGCTGCAGGAAGTGCAGACCTTCTCAGTGTCAGGGGAAACTGGGAGACAGAATTTGCTGTTCTTGCTGAAATGCAAGCATCCTAAGTTCTGATTCTCAATATGGATTCTAACCCTGTCTCTGTTTCTTAGAAACTCAGTGAGCTTTGACCACTTTAAACTGTTTCAGTTTATGTGTTCTATGGGATGGATAACAATGTATTCCTCACAAGGTAGGGGTGTGTGTGTGTGTGTGTGTGTGTGTGTGTGTGTGTATGTGTGTGTGTGTTAGAAGGTATCTGTCACCTATGGCCAGTACATAAGATTAACAATTATATTGATTGTTATTCTTGTAGTGTTTTGTTTATTAGTAGTTTTAGCATTGGGGCATGCTTGCTATGCTAGATCTGATTATTTGTTGGTTTTTGGTTTTTTCCCAATGTAAAGATGGGGCAGTAGATGTATTATAATTAAGACTAGAAGGAAAATACTGGAGTTTTTCTGGGGGTTGCCTGTAAATAAGTGCAGTTTTAGTTACCTACATGAAATAGAGAAAGTAACCTTGGATAATATAAATGCGGGGATATCGGTGGCTGGGTCTTGAGATTGCAGTTTCTCATCCCTTCTAATATCAATTTAAGACAAATCATTTTAGTCAATTTCTGTAGTTTGATTCAAAGTCAAGCTTCTGGGAAGAGATGATGCCTGGGAGAGATCTTAAATTGATAGCAAATTCCCATTACATTATTCATCTCCAAAACTGTAGTGTATATTTTATAGCCAATGGGTTATTATCTTCCCAGTAGACCCAAGAATTGACTTATTTGCATGATTTTTGTCAGGATCCTGAAATTCAATGACAAAGGTAGAAAGTTTTTAAGGGAGGAAAGTGAGACAAAGATAGTTTTTCCCTCACTGGAGTAAATCATGCCTTGTCCTTTGATTCTGGAGGGAAAGCTGTTTCTAGCAGTAGAAGACCCTTATCTCATAGGAAGTTCATCTCAGATATGAAAATCTAGACGAGACTGCCACCGTGTCACATGGAGCTGTGAGTGACAGGCCACGGACGAGACTGTTGGTAGAAAGAGAGAAACAGTGAAACCCTGAGATTTGTGAATGTGAGTTTAGCCACTGACTAAGCTTGGAAAATGAATATTCTGGAACTACCACCCACTTTCAGATGTGATGACACAAATTAGAGACAGAGGGAGGAAGTGCCTTCGTAAATCTCTTCCTGTTTTATTCTGATGATTGTGGGTGTGCCTTGTACTGGTGCTAGCCAGAGCCTGCATAACTTTGCCTCATTTTCCCTTTGACTCATTGATAGCCATGAAACTTCATGATCGTTGGAAAGATTAGCATCTACTGCAGTGGGTATTAACCTGCATTTCTGCCTCATTTTTGATTGTTTCTGTTTGTTCTGTTTTTTAGACCTGGGAAGACCCTTTTCAGAAAGATAAGAACACAAGCTGCTGTGGAGACAATGACCCCATTGATGTTTGTGAAATAGGCTCAAAGGTTTGTCCTACAAACTGCCTTAGCCCTCCATGTGTTTGGTTTATTCATGCCATAAAACTTCATTTTGGCCTCCAGTTCTTCCACTTTTCAGAGTCTGGGTGTATTCATTCCTCTGATATGGAGGCTTTTCGTATATCCTCACTGCTTTTTCCTAAGTCCTGGCTTGGTGAACCACTCGAGGCAGGTGGAATCCCGCCGCTGCCTGGTTCTGATTCTGTACGTGACACAGCTGCCTTCCCGTGTGCCTTGTCTATTTCGGCTCTTATGTCACATCAGCAGAGCTGAGGGGGGCTTGTAACAGGGACTGGAAAGCCTAAAATATTGGCCATCTGACCCTTTATTGGAAGTTTGCTTAGCCCTGCCTTCAGATTCCGTGCCGTGGTCTAGACATTAAGTTCAGTACTGATGAGAACCTTGTGCCCAAGCTGGGGAAGTGGCTTCGGGGTTCAAATGCATGACTAGAGAGTGTGGTGATCTGAGTTCAGATCCCAGAACCCAGGGGGAGTCAAGCGCAGTGACACACACCTGTAATGCCAGTTCCGGGGAGGCAAAGACAGGCAGGTACGAACTGTCTAGACCTGTTTGCTGAAGTTCCAGGCAGTTGGCAGACCCTGTCTCAAATAAAAGGTAGCCTAAGGAATGACACTGGTGATTATCCTCTGGCCACACGCATGTATGCCTGCACTCACACATGTGTATACAGGTGTACACACACATGAAAAATAAAAGGAAACCCCTCCTCTGTGTTCTTTTCATATCTGCTTCCAAGCTGCCAAGTCCTGTGAAGCAAGAGTCCGCGGGCTGGTGCTGCTCGGTAGCTCTTCTGTCTGCTCAGTTCTTCTGTTTCTGCTGTGTTCACTACTAGTGCGTGTGGTCATTCCGTGTGGTTCCCAGCTGGTTTAGTTTCCCAGAAGAGCCTCGAGTCTTTGAGTCAAAGCTCTTGTAGACTCCAGCAGGGGTGAGCTCCCTCAGCATTCCCCTCAGAACTGTGTACACTGTGCCAAGCACCCACATAACTGCTAGATTCATCACTTCCCACCTGTAAGTGGTATTTTCTTCTCCTTTCTCTTTAGTATCAGCAGCTCCTCTTTTGTCTCTGGCTTGTTACCACACGCACCCTCTCTGACCCTTTCCTCAGAGCTCTGGAAGAAGAGATTTCAGTACCCGTCTGCATCTCCTCCTTCTCTCATTGTCGTTGTCACTCCATTGTGAAGTGGTTCTCCTTCCTGTCCACCATCATTTCAATCAGACCGTCGTTGGGGTTCCCCATAGCTGCTGTAGGGGGGTATGGATTTCCTGTAGTGCCCTCTCCCTGCCGTTTCCTCTTCCTCCTTTGAGACAGTCAGTTGTTCCCTTGGCTTCTATTATA